ATCTGTGTGTGTGTGTGTGCGCGCGTGTGTACGTGTATACGTATGTTAATTCCATGTAAATCATGTATATTTTCATGTTCATCACTATTCCTCTTACAATGGGGCTAGCCGTCGTATTGGCAACGGTACAGCCAGCGTAGCAAGGAGAGTAATAGAGCGTCTTTTGATCCTCAGAGCACATAGGCGAGAACTTGTCCGTGCAGCCACAGTCCGACGAACAGGGCGGAACCATTTGGCTGGGAAGAACAAGTTTGGAACATGTTTTTAGAAACATTTCTTACGTCAGTGGGGGATGGTCCTGTTTTTTGTTGTTGAGTATAAGTTTCAGATATTTAGGATTTTGTGATGTCTAAAGTATTATCAGGTAGATTAAAAAAATGGTTATGAGAGGGAGGGAGGGAGGGAGGGAGAGAGAGAGAGATGAAGAGAGGAAGAGAGAGAGAAAGAACGAGAGAGAGAGAGACCGAGAGAGAGAGAGAGGGAGAGAGAGAACGAGAGAGAGCGAGTGAGAGCGAGAGATGACAGAGAATGAGTGAAAGAGAGAAAGAAATACAGACAGATGCCCAAAATACCTGCCGATGGGGCCAACGACATCGAGCTTCTCACAGCCAATGAACATCAGGACAATGAACCCGGCGCAGGTAAAGAGAGTGATGAAGATGTTGTATCCCGAGACGAAACGTGGGCCGGGCCGCACCCAGCGCATGATGGCGCCGCCCAACGCCGTGCCCAAGGACACAGAGGCCAGACTGGCTACACCTGCAGGAGGAAGGGATCGTAAAGGCTGGTGTTCTGGATGGATGCTTTTAGATTTTTTAAAATCATTTTTTGTAATTATTTTCAACAACAGGTTTAATGTACTATGATTTTTTTTATATACTGTACTTTGAGTTATTCGAACGGTCCCATACTTGTATGCATTGAGAAGAGAATAGTACAGCATAGAAAAAAAATCAGATATTGTTAAAGAACCTATCTGCAACATGCCAAAAATAATAGTCCTTCCAAATTCTCAACCCAACCCCCCTTAAAAAAGAAAGAAAGAAAGAAAAAAAAAAAAAAAAATATATATATATATACCTGACTCTCCGAACACCGAAAGCCAAACCAACCTGTGTAGTAGTTCGCCTCAGCCGCGCTCCTCCTGAACTGATTCTCGAGGTACTTGGGCTTGAAGTTCCAGTAGCAGGACATGGCGAGGACGATAGTACACGTGTTGAACAGGTTGCCCACCCAGATCTTGTTGGTGAATAAGCGCTTCAGGGCCTTTCTCAGATCTGGAGAGAGAGATGGGTTTAGAAGCGAGTATATTCTCACGGCGGGCGTTAGGCGAAGGTTAGGGAGGGAAGGAGAAGGGGCTAAAGGGCGAAAGAGGGAAAGAGAAGAAGAGAGAGAGAGGGAGCGAGGAGAGAGGGAGAGGGGGAAGGAGAGAGAGACGGAGGGAGGAAGAGAGAGAGAGAGAGAGAGAGAGAGAGAGAGAGAGAGAGAGAGAGAGAGAGAGAGAGAGAGAGAGAGAGAGAGAGAGAGAGAGAGGAGGAGGAGGAGGAAATGAAGAGAGAGGGAGAGAAGGAAAAAGGGAAAGAGAATGCTGGAAACGTAGACTGAGAAGGAGAGGGAGATAGATAGATAGTTAAATAGAGAGAGAGATAGAGAGGGGAGGGGGAGGGGGAGGGTTAGGAGGAGGGAAAGGGTTAAACAAACAAGAGAGAGAAAAAAAGTAGAGAAACCAACAGAATGGGAAAACAAAATAAACAAATTCAAACAAAAATAAAAATCACAAAAGACCCCCCTATAAAACAAAAGAAAACAGCAGCGAACTCACTGTCCAACGTCGGCCGCTCTTCCACTTTCTTCTTCTTTATGGCGGCCGCAAAATATTCCACGCTGCGGTTGCCTCCCTCCTCCGCGTCCTTCTCGACCTGTCGCGCCACCTTCTTCGCCTCCCTCCGTATCGTCTCGGGCAGTTTCCGCGGGAAGAGGAAGAGCAGGTTGCCGGTGATAAGGAGGACAGTTCCGATAACCAGATACCCTGCGTGATCGAGGGAGAAAGATAGATAGATAGATAGATAGAGAGAGAGAGTGAGTTACGAGCGTGATCAATTTTGTTGATTTGAGTTTGATTGTTAGGAACTTTATAGGCTGTGTGTGTTTGTATATGTTTGTGTTTGTGTATTTGAGTGTGACGCGCGCATGTGTGCTTGTTCTTGTGTAAGTATTTATGTTTATTTGTATATTTCCGATTCCTTACCCAGCCACCAAGCGCCCAGCCACCGTGGGTCTCGCTTGCTCAGGTTGGGGCTGTACGCGGGGTCGATCCACATGGAGAGAAACTTTCCCCCCGAGAGGTAGCCGAGGACCGGGCCCAGGATCCTCAGCAACAAGGTGGCCGCTGTTTAAAAGAAATGTATTAGTAATAGATATGTAAATTTAAAAAACTGAAAATACTACTTTGAGAATTAATCTGAGCTCGTGTTAGGAGGTAAACAAAATATATTGCTCATATTCATAAAGCAAGCTAAAACGAGAGATTTGTTTTCGAATTTCCAAAAAAAAAAAAAAAAAAAAAGAAGCTAACGTTTACAAACCATAATCTGAAAAGTGGATAACGAATCACACCAACTAACCATAATAGATTGGATAAGTTTTCTTATTGATATTATCGTCGAGGTACGTGACTCCTATGCTGTAGAATATGCTGACGGCGATGCCCACGAGGAACTGCGAGAAGAAGAGGAAGATGACGGGCGCTATGATGGCTCCTCCGCCACCGCCGTTCTCCAAGCCGCAGGTGTCCTCGGGCTGGGAGTAGCACAGTTCCACCTTCTCTAAACAGGCGACACGTGAGGTAGTAATGGATGTAATTAGACTGGTGGGAAATAATGATGTTGGTATCATCAAGAGATAAAAAATAAGCACATCGACACTCTGACCTCATGCCAAGGCCTGTATTTCGAGGTCGTCTGCTGTTAAGAAAGCACCGCAGCTTATTAAGGATGCATATCCTATCTCAGTTTGGTGAACAAATCTTAACTATCCCACCAAGAGGGATTCACCGCCACTTACTCGTTTTGTTGAAGCCTTTGTAATTGCCCATAAGATTAGCGCTCGTTTCCTCGACGAGGTCAATTGCGTCCTGCCCCGGGCCGTAGATGAAGTGGGGAATGGCCGCCACGAAACACGACATGGACGCTATCATGATGCCCACGCCCATCCATCGTGGGCGGTGGCCGAAATTACCGAAGTAACCCAAGAAGATCGCAAGGATTACCTGGGAGATGTCGTTGCCTATGAGCGTGGTACCTGGGTCGGAGGGGAGAGTTGGACAGGAGGATTCAGTAACTTGCTCTAGATTAACCAAAAAGAATATTAGACCCTGAAGTAATATGAGTACTTATTACATAAAAAACCCGACTAGTTTTGAAGGCAAAGTCAGGAGAAAGGGAAAATTCAATAACTAGCACTAGATCAATTAACAAGAATATTAGACCCCAAATTAAGTTGAATACTCATTCCATAATAAATGTATCTAATTTTGAAAGAAAAGCTTGAAGGAAGGGAAGATTCGATCACTCATACTAAAATCAGCAGGCAAACTGTACTTTTAACTAACCTAACATATATACGTTACACACCGCAAAGTAAACTGATATCAACATTATTTCTTTAAAGTACCCAACAAGCCGCGCACCGACGAACGACTCAACAACGAACTTCCAACCTGCCCCGACGCCACCTACCCGTCTGCTTGCTCGTGAGCTTGAATCTCTTCTCGACAGTTGAGATCACGGAAACGCTGTAGGTGAAGAACATGCCATTGGTGACGCCCACTAGGCAGTACACCATCAGGTACACCTCTTTGCGGGCCAGGAACTGTGCGGAGAGAGAGGATACATATCTGTATGACAACGTGGTCAATATGATAAACTTTTTGGTCCTAAATAAGAGCTTGTTTTACTCTATTTGTAAAAGGGGAGCGTTTTTTCTTTTCTCTTATACAAAAAGGATATGGTGCAAAGCGTCGGTGATAGTATAGTTTAGGGTTCAAACCCAGTACTCGGTCGCCAGATACTACTACTAATGTTGTTATACATGTGTGTGTGTGTGTGTCTGTGTGTGTGCGCGTGCTGATGTTCTGAGAGTGAAGTCCGACAAAATGGACATCTTGGGTCGTACGAATGTACGAAATCAGACTGGGTGGTGATGAACAAAGTTTGAAGAACCCTGGTATAGATCAGTGACTCTTAAACTTACCAGTCTTACCATTATTCAAAATCGGAGGCGTTCGAATTATCCTACATAACGTTCTCTTTTCTAACCAATAAAGTTTCGCATGCAAAGTCCAAGCGTACACATTTCATGCATAAAAGGATTTTCTCTGTAATTCTAAAATGAAATTGTGCATTTACAAACTTTACTGATATTACCCCAGCGAAGATAAAGCCTTTAATCCCAAATGTAATTTTTCTTAATTTGAGAACCGCTGCTATGGATGAATAATGACGAAATAAGCATTATACTTGGAATAATGACATGGCTAATTTAGAAGCCAGCTGTTTCGTGCAATGGATAAGAATATACTAAAATATGATAAATAAAAGAAAAGGAAAGACAAAAATGTGATAAAAGTGAATTCCAATCCATTTTGTTCAACTTCCTGACTCGAAGTTTGATGACCTAGTTTGACCTTCGGAAGAAAAATCTGACCTACCTGGAGCCACTTGGATCTGAAGGGTCCGATGCCGCATCTCGTGTCCTGGATCGCCTCCTCATCCAGCAGAATTTTGTACGCTTGTTCCTCGTTTGAGATCTTGCTCTTTCCCTTCTCGACATTATTGACAATTTTTGCCTTGGAGTTCTCTTCGAGTAAAGTTTTCTCTGTCATGTTTGTTGTGTTCTGTGAAGGGGAAGATTTTGTTAGGAAATCTGAACGTGCGCTGCGTTGTTAACATATATATATTTAACTGTTTATAATCAGGAGAGTTATTTGCCATTTATTTCCT